TTCTTCCTCTGCCTCGTCCACCAAGCCACGCCCACCAAGCCACACCCTCAGCAAACCACACCCACGAAACTGGTAGTAAATTGTTTTGAATCCCACCCCTGGTTAGTTCCTATCTATTTCTTCTACCCCACCCCTCAGGTGCTTTGCAAAATAGATCAATACCTCCCCCGTCTTCTTGGTGGCAGCCCTTCAAATATTGAAAGACTGTTAGCATGTCACACACACACACACACACACACACACACACACACACACACACCCTAGTCCTTCATCTCTTCTTAAAATCCTCCAGGGATGGAGAGCTCACAACTTCTAGTGGCAAGTCGTTCCACTGGTTAATGGTTCTCACTGCTAAGAAATTTCTCCTGGTTTCTAGGTTGCTTCTCTCCTTGATTGGTTTCTATCCGTTGCTTCTGATCCTGCCTTCAGGGGCTTTGGGGAATAAGTCAGCCCAGACAAGTTTCAGACCCGAGGCCTTGCCCCCACCTCCACGCCAACATTTCCTTGACACAACACCCAATCCTTACGCAATCCGGTCGACTCTATTCGGGACGCCGTATTCACCGTGTCTCCAAACAGGCAGTACCTGGGCATGGTGAGGCCTACCACTCCAGCAGCACAGGGGCCTAGAGAAATAGATATATTTTAATTTTTTTGTTTTTCACCTCAGATCGATCTAGGCTTTGCGACCCGAGCATAGGAAATGGCAAAGAAATAGTGCCCGATCAGAAAAGGTGGAGAGACCTGGCCTTCAGAATTGACAAGAGTTGAATGAATAGAAGAGTATATATCAGAATTGGAAGGGACCTTGTAGGTCATCCAGTCCAACCCACACCCACCCGAGTAGGAGACCTTACACCAGGGCTCTTCAAACTTGACAGCTTTAAGTCTTGCGGACTTCAACTCCCAGAATTCCTCCTCCAGGCATGTTAGTTCGGGAATCCTGGGAGTTGAAGTCCATAAGTCTGAAGTCCCTTGGCCTACACCATTTCTGACAGGTGGCAGTCTAGTCTCTTCTTGAAAGCCTCCAGGGATGAAGCTTCCACAACTTTGGAAGGCAAGTCCCAAAAGGTGCTTTTTTTTTCAAAAGACAACTGGACTTTCTGGTTTTTCTTTGAAGACGGTTCGCTTCTCATCCAAGAAGCTTCTTCAGCTCCTCAGAGCTTTTTCTTGGAAGACATTTTGTTTGTCATCCAAGAAACAAAATGCCTTCCAAAAAAAAAACCAGAAAGTCCAGTTGTCTCTTGAAAAAAAGCACCTTTGGGACAACCATCAGCTGGATGACGGAGAATCTCCATAGACATAACAGATAACAGATCATCAGAGTTGGAAGGGACCTTGTAGGTCATCTAGTCCAACCCCCTGCCCAAGCAGGAGACCCTACACCATTTCTGACAGATGGGAATCCAATCTCTTCTTGAAAGCTTCCAGGGATGAAGCTCCCACAACTTCCGAAGGCAGCTTCTGTTCCATGGGTTGATTGTTCTCACTGTCAGAAAGTTTCTCCTTATTTCCAGGTTGAATCTCTCCTTGTTCAGTTTCCATCCATTATTCCTTGTCTGGCCTTCAGGTGCTTTGGAGAATAGCTTGACCCCTTCCTCCTCTCTGGGGCAGCCCCTCAAATATTGGAAGATGCTCTCCTGTCTCCCCTGGTCCTTCTCTTCCCTAGACTAGCCAGGCCCAGTTCCTGTAACCATCCATCGTATGTTTTAGTCTCCAGTCCCCTCATCATCCTGGTTGCTCTTCTCTGCACTCTTTCTAGAGTCTCAGCCTCTTCTTTTATAGGGTGGTGACCAAAACTGGACGTAGGGTTCTAGGTGTGGTCTTACTAAGGCTTTATAGAGTGGTATTAGTACCTCCATACATCTTGATTGTATCTCTCTGTTAATGCAACCTAGGATTGCATTGGCTTTTTGGGCTGCTGCTGCACACGGCTGGTTCCTATTTAGCTGGTTGTCCACTAAGACTCCAAGATCCCTCTCATAGTTCCTGCTATTGAGTCTAGTTCTACCCAGTCTATATGTGTCCTTTGGGTTTTTCTTTCCTAAGTGTAGGACTTTCCTTTTCTCCACGTTGTATTTCATTCTGTTAGATAGGGTCCAGTGTTCTAGTCTGTCAATAAGTTTTGTTAAAACTTAACAAAACTTAAGGACTTCAAAATTTATTGCAATCTTGTTTTATCCGTTGTTGGTTTTAACCTGTGCTGATATTGAAGCTGCCCGGAAGTGGACAAGAAACGAGGTGGACAGGTACATCAATTCTAACAATAAACGAACTGGGACGATTTCACACTGGAGCAGGAATACAGGCCGTCTCCGACTTACAATAGTTCATTCATGATAGCAGTGAAAAAAGTGACTAATCACCATTTCTCACACTTAGCAACAGAAATTGTGTGTGGGGGGTGTGTCAATTGTGGTCGTAAGCCGAGGACCCCCTGTATAGCCTGTCATCTGTGCATCACAGTTTCCGTTATTCCTTATCCATGGCTTTAAAACGAGCGGGGAAGTCAAAATTAGGATTGGAACTTGAAGCAGAAAATCGTGTCACAGGTGTGTCCACCAACATTTGTTTTCAAGGAACAAGCAGGCACAAGAGAGAAGCCATCAGTAAAATTCAAGGCCTCGCTAAGTTTAATACCAGAATGAAAACTTCTCAGGTACTTGCTAAATGAAATCACCTACTGTCGAATAGCGTTGAACCCTGAATTGTTTCTCCTGGGGATTATTAAAGGTAAATACCCCCCAAAGATTAAATATTTGACTGTACATTTTATTACGGCAGCAAGAATTGCACTAGCATCAGCTTGGAAAATGTCTACCACACCGTCAGATTGTTTAATAATCCGAAAAAATCTTTGAATGCGCAGAAATGGATAGACTCACCATAGAACTGAATAACAAGGAAGACTCTAAGTATTATGCAACTTGGAACAATTGGTATCAATGGACAGACAGTAGAAACAGGAAAGGTAGAGGTTAAAAATGAGATTATTATTTTTTTTTGTATATGTATGTGATTAATGAGAACCTGTTGAAATGGATGAATATTTGGAAGGTATGGATATCGCCAAGATTATTTTTTGTACTGTCAGAGAATGATGGTGAACTGCATCGACTCATTTGTCTTTTTATAGACGTATTTGTCTTTTAATATTTTAATTTCAATAAAGGCTTTTGAAAATTAAAAAAGAAAACTTCTCGTGCGCTAGATCACACTGAAGCAGGAAGAAAGACACCTTGATACCTGAATGCAGCCCCATCCGTATCTTAACGGGCAAATCCGGGATATGTTTCACTTTGAACGCTCCCACTGAGCTGAGGATATCCAGAGACATGTTGGCAACCTCGGCAGCGTGCCTGTGGCCATTGCGTTGTGGGAGCCCCGATGCCACCATATAAGCATCACCGATGGTCTCCACCTGGGAATCAAAAGATGATTTGTATCTCTAAGAGAAAAAAAAAAGAGCCGGAAGTGACAGAAGACACCGAGATCGATGCTGGGGGATATTTCCTGTGGTCGAAGGGTGGGTCGGCTGGGTCTACGTCTGTCAAGTTGTGGGTGCTTGAGCGCCGGAGGTTTTGAAGAAGAGATTGGACAACCACTTGTCTGAAAATGTATAGGGTTTCCTGCTTGAACAGGGGGTTGGACTAGAAGACCTCACAAGGTCCCTTCCAGCTGAATAGAATAGAATAGAATAGAATAGAATAGAATAGAATAGAATAGA